GATCAGCCCCTTAACACTAGGTCAGAACAATGGCATATCAAAGTTTACCTCCATAGCTGTCTCTGATAACGTACCACTTGACAGTGCCAAGGACTGTGCTTGTGAGAACTTTCTTTTCCAGGTTGTTAGTAGTTAGGGCTACAGAGAAGGCAAAGGCTGTAGCACCCAAAGAGAAAGTCTCCAGTTAATACTTTCACAAGGACTGTTTCCCAGCATGATGGCTGCCAGGTCTGGGCTGAAAGCTGAGAATGAAAAATCCAAGAGATATAGTTTCTGGAGTAGTAATTAATAATCAATTTATTATTTGTGGCTAGGAAATAGTCAATAAGTTGAGGTCAGTCTCATAACCAAAGATCCCCCTCCACCCCAGAACATTAAGTACTTAAAAGTCTTTGGAAAAGGGGGTGTCCATGAGGGTAGAAATCAACTCTGATTGGTTAACAATCAGTGAAGGGGGCAGACATATTAATGAGGAGGTGGGCAAAAAGTCTTCAGCCCCTCCTGCTGAGAACATGAGCAGATCATGAGACTCAACTGCCTCCAGAATCCTTCTCCAGACAGACCACTCTGGTTGGTTTTCCCCTTCATAAGCTGGATGACCATAAAATCTAATGGAAGGTTCCAAGGACAGGGTTTTATTTCCAAGAACTTGCCTAGACTGGATTCTGTGTGTAAGGTCTAGTTGGGTGGAATCCCACCCAAAATTGAGAAGTATGTACCCAGAGAATTTGGGCAATCTCATCTATCAGCAGTGTCCTTCACAGACTGGTTGAAAAACCTACACAGGTTTTCTGTTTCCTGAATGAGGAAATAGGAAGGCAAAACCTTGATCCTAATTTAATAATTGGTTATTAATACAAGGGGAAAAATAATCATTTCTCTCAAAGCAGGGCTAGTAATTTGGAAAGCTGATATTCCAAGGGCTGTTGGGTTTTTTACCTAACCATCATTGTCAATGCAGTACAAGGAACAGAGGTGGTACAGAGGAAGGTGGGACAATGCATGGGGGCAAGAGGTAGTCCAGCCATGGCTAGAGGGGCAGTCCACTTCTCAAAGTTTATTTTCCTGGGCCCTGGAAGAAGTTTGCTGTGGCAACAGGTTCCTAGGGTTGGACATAGGGGAGAGAGAGTAAAGATGCAATGACTGAATCACAGAAGTATCAATTTATTTGAGACATAAAGATGGTGCATCTGGACTGGTATAGGGGGGAGCATGCCCCCTGGATGTTAGTGTTGGACAGCAAAGCTCCAGTGATTCAACAGTAGTTATGGCTCAGCATGTTGATCTACTTCAGAGGTGTGATAGTTTTCATTTGGCTACATGGAGGTAAATGATTTCCTTTATTGGATTCGTTACATGCAGCACCAGCAGAAAGACTATACAGACTACTCCTTGCTTCAATTTCCCTTTCTCTATTGGTGACACAGTGAATGTCATGGTTATGTTGAGGTTTAGAGGTTTAGGGGTGCTGGTACCCCAAAAATCATGACACCTGGGTCCTGCCCAAATGAATTCAACTCAAGCCTTCTTTCAGCCAAAGACAAGGTTTATTAGAACATCGATTGGATGTTCTTAAGGAAACTAAGCATTTGTATGGCTAAGGCAAGCAGCCCAGATCTTAAGAATCTGAGCACCTTAATGGAAGTCAGATGGCCCTCCTTTCCTTTCCTTTCTTTTCCTTTCCTTTCCTTGGTTCAAGGTGCTCTGCCCAAAGGACATAAATTTTGATCTCTAAAACATTTTTTTTCCTTAAGAACCACACCCTAAACCCAAATCATTCTGGCTGTCATTGACTGGCCAACAATGGGTCCCAGGCCAAGCCCCACTTTGGTCATTGTTTGGGCCCTGATTGGCTCAGAGTGAATGTAAATAGCAATTGTTTCTGCTTTGGCCAGAAACCCTGAGGTCTTCCCCTCCCAGAATTATTTCTCTTTTTTTCTTGAAGAGGCATAGAGGCCATTCTTTGCCTCATTTCTTACTTACCCTCAATCACTGGAAGGGTGTTGCCTCAGTCAGACTGAGACCTGTTAAAGACCTTAGCTTAAAAAGGCTAAGGTCTCCCACTGCATCCAGGACAACCTTCAGTCATCCTCATCTATATCTCACCACTAGACCCAGATGGCTCCAAAGGAGAAAATGAGGCTGGTGACTTTGCACAGCCCTTCTTTTAAATTCAATTCACTTGCATGTCATGGTATCACCTCCCTGATGTCATGGTGCTCTTCTGAGAAGGAAGGGCTAACAACAGCTGTGCACATAGTAGGCACTTAATAAAGGTTAGTTGTAATCTTGAGATGGTTTTTGTAAAGCCATTGTAGAAACATGCTGTCTATTCATCACTAGGATACCTTGTACATAATGCTAGGTTGTTTCAGATTATTGCTTTAGAATCTTCCACAGTAAATCAATTTGGTCTGCCAATAGTGCCAGTCTGTTTTTTACTTGGACTCGCACCATCTGAGAGTTCAGAGATTTCCTGCATTGATTGCCAGATGAAAGCAGGGAAAGCTGTGGGAATAATGTAAGCATCTCTTCAGTGTTCCATCATTTGCCATGTCATGAACAGATGCAAATTCTCCATGAAAACAGGAAGTACATTTTAATTTCTCTGGAAATATTGGGTAGTGGAATCCCTCTATTTTGGTAATTATTTATGTTGTAGAAACTAAGGGTGATGGTAAGTTAATCTAGTTATTCAGGTTGTTCAAAAATGTCAAGGGAGGGAGACTATTAATTTTGTTTCATTTGATAGAGGTTTGCCATGAAGTGTCAACAAACGTTATTTGTTGGAAATAATTTTCAGTTTTTAATCTTTCTGTTCTACCTTATCTACTTCCCTCCATGCCTCCCTCTTTCCTACTCCAATTGGGAAAAATAATTAAATACACATGGTAGCATACTAACTTCAGAAGACTCCTGGATTTTAAGTCAGAGTACCTGGGTTCAAATCCTTATTCTGTCACTTATTGTCTGACCTCTACAAACTTGAGAAAACTTTCTTAGGATCATAGGGTGCATAGATTTAGAACTGAAAGAGACCTTCTAAGTCATCTAATCCTACACTTCCATTTTGTAGATGAGGAAACACAGGTCAGTCACACTGAGAGTAAGTAGCAAAGACTGATAGGAACTCAGGTCCTCTCTGGACCTCATGTTTTCCCCTCATCTGCAGAATGAACTTGGATTGGATGGACTCTTCCAACTCTAAATCTGATGATCCTAAATCTATATGTGACCATGAGAAAAAAAAATATCTGACTCCCTCTGGTGCATAATATAGTGTGGTGGAGGTCTTGTGTTTTGAGTTCTGCTGCTATTCACTAGCCATAATGCTTTGAGCAAGGCACTTAGTCTCTTTGTAAACCTTAGTTTTCTCATCTGTAAGATAGGAATAATACTGGTCCACCTCTGGTGAATGTGTATCGGAGAGAAGTGTTGGAGAGGAGAGGGTTTGCTGTAAGTACCTTGTAAACTTCAAAGGACTATATGAACATGGGTTATTATTATTGTACTCACTAATAAGTTCACTTTATTTTTAAAGCTTACAGTGGTGCCATCTTGGTTGGTATGTAGCTTTAGGGAGAGTCCACACTGACTCTTTGAAATGGAATGGGGTTTCATTTCAGCAGAATCCAAGGCTACTTACGTGCATAATTTTAAATTGTGAATTTTGCCCACTTGAGTCATTCCAAAGCTACCATTTCCTTGAAGACTTGAAAGAACTATTTTTAGTTGGTAAGCACTTGTTCAGTGCTTATGGTGGACAAGATTTTGGTATGTAGGATGTAAAGCTGAAAAATCATTTCAATTCAAATCTTTATTAGGAACACTGAGGAGGAAGTGAGCATTACTCCAAGAGAAGATAAACCAGAAGTTAGAAATTATTATCTGGAGAATGAAATGGTCTGCCTAGCTATTGAAAATATTTTTAAAAAAATTTTAATGCTTAAATCTGTGCTACTCAAAATGCTGAGTTAATGAATTTTAGATGCAGCTAAGTGAAACAGTAGATAGAGCACTGGACCTGCAGTTAGGAAAAACCCATTTCAATATGGAACTCAGAATTTATTAGCTGTGTGATCTTGGTAAGTCACTTAAACTCTATTTGTATCAGTATTCTCAACTGTAAAATGGGAATAATAATAACACCTATCTCAAAGGGTTGTTGTAAGGATAAAATGAGCTCAGATTTGTAAAATGCTTAGCACAGTGAGCAGCACATAGTAGATGCTTAATAAATGCCAGTTACAGTGATGTCTAAGAAGGACCCTCAGCAACTGTCAAGTCCACCATTTGTTTTTCAAGCAAGGATACTGAGGGTCGGAGAGATTGAGTTCTCTGTCCAAACTAGTGCCTAGACTCCACGCCTGACGCTGCCACTGCAACATTTTCTAACTCTACTTCATTAGTTGTGATGTTAATAATAATAAAAAAAAATTTCTTGGTGGCTAGTCAATGGGTGATTATCCTGTATGAACTTAAGTTTCAGGCCTCAGATACACAACTCATCATCAGGCTTACACGAAAAACTGGACAGTCTTAAGAGAATCTCAGGTTATTGCCATGCTAGACATTGAAATGATTAGTGTGTATTTGTATAGGCTACAGACTCTATGAGATAAAGCCTGCTTTGGCAGATAGCGGGTTGGTCCTGGGATCTGGAAAATCTGGGTTCACAACTTGTCTCTGACACCTACTGACTCTGTAACCATGGCAAGTCAGTCACTTCCAGTGCCTCAAGCAACTCTCACATACTATAAATTATAGACAGTTGCTAATCAAAGGAGTTTCCACATCAGCAGATTCTCCAAACTGATGAAATCACAGGTCCAGACCAAAACAAATAACCCCCCCCATATTACGTAGAGCAAATGATTGCCCAGAAAAGCTGAATAATTGTTCCCACTTGTCAGTAGTAAGCAATTTTTGTTAGTAAGCAATTAATAAGCAATTTTTTTTCCTTTTTTCCCTCCTCCCAAACCTTCCCTAAACCTTTACAGGTCTCAGTCTGTCGTGGAAGCTGGGACACTGAAACATGAGGAAAAGGGAGAGAATGAGAACACCCAACCACTCCTGGCTCTGGACTGAATTCTAAGTCACCAAAATACATCTTACCAGCCTTCAGTGGCACCAGTCACCTATGAAGCACATGCTTAACTGATCCCCACAGGCACACATCTTGCTTGACAAAAGGTCCTCCACTTCTGTTGACAATAACGATCGTCACCAGCCATCTGTCTGAGCAGCCAAAGTTAAACAAAGACTGGAAGGATTTCTTTTTCAGTGAAGGACACAAGGATGAAGCAAGACATCAATTTAAACCAGGAACAATTTTTTTTTCAATTTTTATTTTACATTTATGGTATTAAAAGGATCAAAAAGGGTTGGACTTATTAATTCTTTGCTCACATATATATACTACATTGTGGACATTTCTCCTCATATATCATATTGGGAAAAAGGGAGTGTTTTTTCCAAACAACATATGTCCAAATTAAACTGTAAAGATACAATTTTCAGATTTAGTATAGTGCAAAGCCATGAAACAAAAGCATCTGCAATAATTTTCATTCTCATTGATTTATTTTTTCTTTAACCTCACCACCAGCATTGAATGGTTCATCCTGAGAACACGTTCTCATAACTCTGGCTAGCTATAGTTTATTATTTTGATACTTGGCTAACACTTTTCTGAACTTTTGTATCTTCTCTAAAACCATTTTACATCATGAGGGCAGAAGATACGCAATTTGGAGAAACAATTTTTCTTCCTTTTTATGACATGATTTTCCATAGGCAGTTCTAGAGTCTGTTAGCTCGGTCTGTATCTGTATAAAGGGGAATCTCATTGGAAACATTTTTTTAGTAATTAATGGAACTATTCAGATTGTTTCATTTAGATCATGACAGCTTAGGAAAATGCTATGGAACCATTTAACCCCCTTCGCTCCTGCCATCAATTAAAGGTTGCAGACAGAGGGCGGTTCTGGTGGTTGCTAGAAAAAGCAGACATTCAACTGAGGAGGAATACTTCCTCAAATGAATGAATGACTAAATGGGCATGTACTTTAAGCAAAAGGAGCAGAATAGAAATGCAGGACTGAAATGCCAAAGATCAGCTCACTGCTTTATTTGTTTTTGAAAAATAAATCCTACCCATTCACTGAAATGGACATGGAGATAAAATAAAAGAAAACCTGTAAGAAATGATTTTGTGCCATATGTTTGCTTCCCTAAATCAATTTTACAATTTTAGGCATCTTTTTCTCTTCAGCCACCTGCTCCATAAAGACATTCATCTATTCATTTGTACCATTACTTGGCATCATGTGTCACACAGAAGGTATTTCAGCTAATGATGGGTGGTACAGTGGTATTTTAAATGGAAACATTTAGAAGGGCTAACATTTTAAGCTGAGCAAATCATGGGGAAGACATAATTCAATAGGTCATGGCCATTTCCAAATGGAATTAGCATTTACTATTTTTGTTCTTCACTGGAAAAAAATCAAAAAGTATTAATGTGTGCATTTGTAGCATACCGGCTATGGCTACTGGTACAGGATAAAACAGAAACAGACATTGTTTATGTGTTCTGGCCCAGTCTTGTAAAAAACTCTACACTGGGTTTAAATACCACCACCTCTGACAATTAATAGCTGTGTGACCTTGGGCAAGTCAAATTACCTTTCTGAGCCTCAGTTTCCTCATGTGTAAAATGGGGACATTAACACCTGCAGTACCTACCTTGCAGGGTTGTTGTGAGGCTCACATGAAATAATATATGTGAAGTGCTTTGGAAACTTTATAAAGCACTATATAAATGTTGGTTACTATTTTTATTTTTGCAAAAAAAAATGATGAAGTAGGATATGAAATGAAAATATAGCCACTCTGCCAACACAGAGATGTGTAAATAAAACCAGTTACTTTTGGGCAGCCACTCCTAACCACGTGCTGAAATATCTTCATCTGTACTGTGACCCAATGACTTTTTTTTATATAATTATAAGAGAGATGAAAAAGAAATAAAAGCAAATCAGGGAGCCATTTTAATTGCTTGGGTTTATACATGTGACAATTGTTGCATCCAAGTTTTTAAAATGTCATTGAAGCCAGTTAGTGCTATGTTTTAAAATAGTAAAAAGACACCTGCCTATTAAGTTGGCAGTCTCAGTGTCCTGATTTAGTGACCTGATTTAAAACACTCTACCTACCATAGTGACCTAAGTTAACATGAGTTAGCTTGTAAATCTGTTTTTCTCCAAATCTCATGACATGAATGTAAGATGAACGTTCCCATGTACATTTTCTCATTTGAATTTTCTGTACATGTATGCGATAGATTTACAAACAGGAACCAAATTCAACAAGAATTGACATGAATGTTAGTTACTATTACACGAGCATTGGATTGTACTGTCCTTCTCTGTTGAGTCACTTCCCCTTGTTAAATAAATATTGAAGGACAAAAACGACTTTTTCTTCCTGTTTTTTCCCCTTGATATTGATCATTATTTTGGAGGTACTGTTTCTCTTGATTTTCTATTCCACACCCGTAATGTGCTGTCCCCAGCTCCCCTCCACCAAAAAAACAAAACAAAACAAAAACAAAAACAAAAACAAACAAACCTGCCACAAAATACCTGGTTTAGAAATGGAAGCAACTACACAGGAACCACTACATAAGTTCCCCATACAGTATTGTCAACCTGTGCATTCTAGTTGAGGCTCCTTTCAAGGAAAAGGGATAAAAATTCCCCAATGCCCCTCCAGTAGAACCTGTGCTCTTGAGTTAAAAGAAATACGAGTAGTTTCAATATTGGAAGACAGATAAAGTAGACAAGCCAGAAGTTGCCTCGATCGTTCCTGGAATGAAAAGGCTGTGTATTCTAGCTAACTTTCCACCAGGACTCCAGGCACTCAAGTTTATTTTTTAAAAAAATGCCATGAATATGGCATTTACTAAACATTTTTGTTCATCTTGGCCCATGAAATGATATTCAGTGCATGATCATCATCACATTCTTAATACAAAAATTATGTTGCACACCTTTCAAAGGGTGCATTTCACTCTTACTTGGTTTTAGAAAAAATTAAAATGTTTTATTTCATTGAAACTTTACCTAGTGATTTGACTCTCTATGGAGATCATTCTTTTAAAATGTTGTTTCTTTGTAATGTGCATTATTAAAAATTCACTCATGCAAGCCTGATGCTTATTTTAAGGCATTCCTTTTCATTTTATGTAGCAATTCTGTTCTAAGGCAAGAAGTCAGGAAGAGTGTTTCCAAATGATTTAAAGAAGAAAAGATTTCTTATGATACCCCACTATGCAACAAAGATCCTATCATTTTCCCATTTGCAGCAATTACCCTTTCCATTATGTCATCCTGAATAACACTACCAAAAATTGATCAGTGAAAAATATATCAGGAATCCTCTGAAGTATCAATGGAGCATTCACTCATCCTCCATACAGATTAATACTGTGTAAAGATGAGAGAGGGCTTAGACCCAGACTGCTAATGGTATCAAGACCCACAGGACCTGGATCATTTCCCTACCAAGCATATGCCTAATCTTAGAAGACAAGAAAATTTTACTATGAAAAAATTTTTCTTGGAAAAACAAAAAAAACCCCAAAGCCTAATTCTTGTCATATATGAGAGCTATATGTGGCCTTTAAAGGGATCAGTATCAAACTACTACACATGGTTTTTCAATAACAAAACTTTTCTTCAGTGAAACAAACAATCTACTTAGTTTGTCTGTACTATTAACACAAAGAGGGTGCTAGTCAGAAACCAGGCCTCCAGGTAAAAGAAAAAATAAACTGATAAAAAGGGAGGTTATTTTCATGGTTTTTTTTTTAGACAGAGCTATTGTTTTCTACCTTTTCCTGTCCATCATAGTTGGAAAATATCATTTTCTCTCATACCAATTTCTTTATATTAAAAGGAATTACAAAAGCAAAGGAAAACTCATCTTGATAAAGAATACCCCAAAGATAACAATACTAAACAGCTGGAAGTGAAGCCATTATACACTTGTGATAAAAAAAAAAGGAAAGAAAGAACGTAGTGGTTCATAAAAATAAATGTTCTAGGGCTGGCTTAATAGAAAAATACCATTACATTTAAAAATTACAAAACGACAACCATCCATTCACATTATCTATATTTCCTATCAATGCACACTGACAAACCTATTCTAGGGGCAAAATCTTTGGCTGGTAAGAAGGTTTCACGTTTTTCACTTTAGTGTAGGCATCACAGCAGCATGGAACAGAGAAGGACAATTTCTAAATGAGCTGGAGTAGACAAACCATTCCTTCACCATCTTCTAAACCCAAGCAGGCTAGCATTTTTGAGGCTGCAATTCAAGCAGAAGCATTAGGAGCTTCAACATTTATGGTTCTGTCTACACAGCCACACAGACAGAACAGATGTTAAGAGCCTCCCTCATTTGTGTTCTGAGACTCCAATGTGCGTTAAATTGCAGGCAGACTTCGCCTCTGCTGAGGGGTCAGCTCCGGGTGCCACACATCCACAATGAAGATTAGGCGCAGGGAGGCTGCATCCTGCCACACCTCATGTTCAAAGGAGTCATCAAAGATGAGCACTTTCCCTTCTTCCCAAATCCTGTAAGAGAAAAACAAGACATTTTCTAAGGTTCAGGTTATCTAGATGAATGCTAGCTAACCAAAGCTCTTAGGAATTTGTGAAAATGAATGTTGACATCAAAAGCATGATTTAATGTCTTCAATGACCCAAACTGCATTACAGGACTCAGTGTTTCTTCATTCTAAACATTAATTGTTATTGTTCAATATTATAGATGAAGTACAGAAAATGGAGCTGAAGGTCTACTAAGACTATGATATATCTTGGAAACATTTTTAAAAATAAATTTCTTCTACCAGAGATTTTAGTCAGCAAAGGGTTAAAAATTGGCCATTGGCCCTCCATAAAGTGCATAATTTTCCTACGAATAATCACATAACTGATTACTTTTTGTGAAAGCTCCCTGGCATCTTTCCTGGCTTTTCATAGGCAAAGGATTATCCTTTTCAAGGGACAACCACATCATGTTATTCCATTTGGGTAAACTACACACTCAAAAAAACAGGCATTAAAAAGATTATTATTCTTTACCAAAACACAGCAACAGTAAGACCAGGCGTTTCCTAGCCATCGTTCTGTGTTCAGAACATAGGGGTATTTCGAGACTCTTGTTCTTTGTGCTAATATCATTCATATAGGAGATTTTAAAAATCAATGCCATTCATTATTAGGTTGTCTCCTCATCTGCAACTGATACACACCAATTTTAATGTTAACTTGAATAAAATATAATCAAGAAGTAAATGGAGGTGGGGAGAGAAGGAACAATCAACTTGATACAGAAAGAAGGAACATAGCATTTGGAGTTAGGAGACCTGGGATTGAGATCTGGCTCTGATCCTTACTAGCTGTGTGACTATGGGCTTACCCTCCTAAGTCTCAGTTTCCCCAAACAGATAATACTACTTATATCAGGCCTGCACCACCTGTGACCTGCAAGGATTTTGGGTGGCCCACAAAAAATGTAGAGCATCCACTACATTTTTTGCAGGCTGCCCGAAATCCTTTGGCAGGCCACAGGTTGTGCAGACCTGACTTATACTACCTCACCCCTCAGGTTGTGGTAGAAAAAACAATTTTTCAACTGTGAAGTGAAAAGATGAAAGATTTAGAGCTGGACCTCAGAAGCCATCTAGTCCATCCCTTTTCTTTTACAGTTGAGGAAACTGAGGCCTATGTAGGTGAATTGGCTTGCCAAAGGTGATGTGGATAATAAATAGCAGAGCTAGGAGTCTAATCCAGCAAATTCAGCATTCTTTTCTTTCTTTTCACAACAGCATATTTCCTCATCATTGTATAATAGAATCCAAACCCAAAACAGAACAGAATTTTGTATTTTCTAAGTGACAGATTAAACTGAATTCAATAAACATTTGTTGATTGATTATAGGTGGAAGGAACTGTTCTTAGTGGTAAGGATACAAAGACAAAACACAAAATTGGCCTCTAGTTAAACTGCATATTTTAAAAAAATGCTTTGATTTTCTAAAGTCAAATTTCATTATGAAATAAGTTTATTATACTGTACGTGTTCTACTCAATTTAAAGCCCATTGTTAAAAGTATTAAGTATTGGTTGGAAAATGATGGCTGGGTTTCAAGTTATTCAATCACAAGATATCAGTGTTTTATGGCACAAGAATAAGAATAGGGCTTGAGCCTTTTACATGTACAGCAAAGTGCTAAAATTAAATGGTATGGCCTGCTTAATGAACTTGAAAATAATTTTTTCAAAGTAACTGATACATTCAATATCTTGTACACTCCTTGAGGGCAGAGACTATTTCTGTATCCCTCACTATATTCCTTATGGTGTCTAACACAATGCTTAGCAAAAATAAGATCTCAATCAATCAATAGCTATTAACTGACTGACAGTGCCTCTAAAGGTTGGATAAGGAGTTGGTTTACATCTTCAGTTTCAGAGAGAATAAAATTTATGTCCTTGATAAAAGGACCAGGCCATAGAGTGGCAAGCTAACCTACAAGAATATGGTTATCACAAGTCACTCAAACAAATTTTCACATATGAAATCCAAAAACCATTTGGAAACAAAGCCAAAGTCAAGAGTGTGACTGTATTTAAGTTCCTTGAGGGCAGGGATAGATGGAGACATGTTTTGTCTTTGTGCTGAGCACCACTGTCTTACAGCAGATATGTCATTAGTGCTTACTGGATTGCCCTGAAGAAAGGAAGAGAAGGCCATTCATACAGAAGTGAAAGGGCATGTAATTCTTGAAAGAGCCAGGAAACATTTTTTTCTTATTTCAATATCACCTGGTGGACTAAGCAGTCCCTGGTGATCCTTATATATAAAAGTAGGGCTATAAAAGAAGAAGGGAAGGGGGGGAGAGGAGAATTGTAGGAATTTGGAGTTGAGAAGGGCCTTCGGTATTATCTAATCCAATGCTCTAATCTTAAAGCTGAGTAACTAAGGCCAGGGATAGTAAGTTACTTGCTTAGAGCTGAACAAATTACATACAGTGATGATAATGATTAACGACAAAGAAAATACCAGAACCTAGTCTTACTCCCAGGCTAGTGTTCTTCTACAACATTACAATGAATCCCTAGATGAAATTCCTCTTATTTCTGTTGATCAACTCTTCAGATTGGCTTGGCAGTATATGTGTGTGTGTGTGTGTGTGTGTGTAAAATCTGGTTAAGGATGGACTTGTTTTTGCTTTCTAAATTTATTTTCCTTTCAAATTTCATTCAGAAACTAAGACTGTATGTACAGCTACTGAACAGTGAACAATTAGCAAGCTATCTGTTTCTACCAACCTCACTGTTTATACCTTTAGACCACAAACTCTGATCCAGTCTCCTAGCTCAGTCTCATATTCCCCATCGAAAGAAAAAAAACCCCAAACAACATAGGGCCTCAGTCTTAGCCCATAAAAATTACTCTGTTCATTGTTTATAAGCAGTAGATAGGTAGATATTGTCAAGTGCAGACCTGAAGGAGTTTTGGGGTGGGGGTAATTTTTTGTTTGTTTTAAAATAAACCAATGTTCTTTTTTTTTCTTTTCTTGTTTTGTATTTAAGTTTAAAATGAATAAAAAAATTTAAAAAGAAAATAAATAAAAGAAACTGTTAAAGAAGGTCAGAATCAAAACAGAAGCTATGGCTTTTAGCTCTTCCACTATTAACAATTACTTCTTTAACCTTCCCATCTGTTTTGCTCCCCCTTCTCAAGAGATACACAATAGAGTGCTTTGCCCCAGAAAGTTAGAGCCAGAGAACCTCTGAGTTGGAAGGGTCCTCAGTGGTCCAATGAGGACCTGAACAAGAATCCTTCCCACAAAATATTCACCCAACTTCCACTTGAGGGATTGCAGTAAAAGAGAATTCATTCCTCCACTTATAATTCATTAAACATATATATATATATAGCTTTGTTAGCCAGTTTTTCATATCAAGGCTAAACTGCCTCTCTGCAGTCTCTATCCATTGTTCCTAATGATGCCCTAATCCTTCCACTGCCATTCAAATACTTAAAGGCAGCCACTTTTCTCCCTTTCAAATATTCTCTTCTCTATGCTAAATATCCCATAGTCCTTCAATTGATTGTCCTAGGGTCTGATTTCATCTTAAAGGCCTTTACTTCTCAGGGCACTCTTTTCTGGTCTCCAAATTAGCAATGTTATTGTTGTTGTTCAGTCATTTCAGTTGCATCAGCCTCTTTGTGACCCTTTAGGGTTTTCTTGGCAAAGATACCAGAGTGATTTGCCATTTCCTTCTCCAGCTAATTTTATAGTTGAGGAAACTGAAGCAAATTTGCTCAGGGTCACAGAGCTAATAACTGTCTCAGCCCGCATTTGAACGCAGGTCTTCCTGACTGTAGATCCTGCTCTTTCTGTCCACTATGCTACCTAGCTGCCCCAAATTAGCAATATTCTTTCTGAAATATGGCATCCAAAACTGAACATAATACTGAAGATGTGGTTGGAGTAATGAGAAAAATAGTGAGAATATTACCTTTCACTTTCTGGACACCCTGCCTACCTTACCATAGGTTCAGACTAAATTTGCTGTTTTGGAAGCTGTCACTGTGTTTGTTAATATTGTTTGGGGATCTCTAAATTATTCAGATTGTTTTTCCTATCCTTTACTTTTTTTAAAAATTAAATAAAAATTTTAAATTAACAAGCATTTTCTTTGCCTTCTACTCACTTCAATTCATAAAAATTACTCTCATAACAAATATGCATAGTTACGTAAAACAAATGCCTACATTAGCCATATACAAAAATGTTGCTATCATTTTCCATTTTAAGTTCATCACTATTCTGTACTTGTGCAATTGATTTTTTAAATCTAATCTGAGAAACAGAAAATAGGAAAAAGATGGGAAAAAGCAAAAGCAGAAAAATAAAGAGGGAGGGAAAAAACCAAACAAAAATGAAGTAATTGTGGTGAGAAATGGTGGTGAGAGAACCACCACCAGTTATTTCAGATGTCCTGACACCTGACTCCTGCTTATTGGATACTGAAGAGGACCAAACACAGCCCAAGAAGGTGGACAGTTTTCTTTCTTTACAAATTTATTTGTTTACTTATTTATTCTGCAGAGACTCCAGTAGTTTCTAGCTTTCAAGAAGGATTAATACAAATGGAAGACTAAAAACTAAACATAAATATCGAGAGGAGAAAAACATTGACGTGGGAATTAATTTCGGAACACATAGTTCCTTTCCCAGGGAAAGTAAGACAACTCAAATATACCCTCAACATGATTTTGGGGTTGATTTTTCTAAGGCCAAGAAGATTGCATCACTCCATGTGTCCCATTTGACTTGTATTTGCCCTTTGTAAACTTCTCACATTGCCTCATGCACTCAGTTCCCTTGCTTTGGGCATGGATACCTTTTAAAAGCTTAAATTGAAAAAAAAAATAAATCTTCATCAATTATCAGATGGAGCCTGATTTGCAAATACCCCAAAGTGCAGCATTTATTAGACTAAAAGATAAAAGCACAGGACAATAAAATTCATCTAAATGCCTGACTGGAGTG